GTGTTATTTCTAGAGAATGTGTGTATGTGCACGTGTGCATGAGCATGTGAGGATCCATCCCCCCAACCCTTTTTTTAATCTCCTTTCATTTTGGAAAGTGCCCATTCAACGGTTGGTTGGCTAATGTTGCTGGAGGGCAGGGGCTGTCTTTGAAATTAATCATGTACAATATTTTTCAGTACAGGGCAATGCATGAGTTCCTAACAGTAGAAGTGATGTGGTTAGTGAAGTCAAAGGATGGGGGGAGTTGAGGGTGGGGATGGCGTGCTGGTGGGGCAAGGGGAAAGCCAGGTACCACAAAGACAGGCTTTAGGTGATTTGGAAGCACGCACTGAAGGGCCTTTACTCATCTCCCAGTCTTACTAGCAGTATGTCTTAAAAATGATGGACAACAGAAAATGTGAAAGGCTTATGGAAGTGGTGATGGGCAGAAGGCCCCAACTGGAACACTTGGGGACAAATTCTGGACTTCCTAGGGAAATCTAGAAAACCAACAGGACTTAGGTTATAATATTCACATTCCAAATCCTTGTCCTACACTTTTCTATACCTTAGTGGTATAAAACACAAGTCTGTTAATAAACACCTACTATGCACTATGGTTTGAGGATCCCTTGCATAGCTGAATGAGTTTTGTTGCTAGGCACACTGAAGGTATATTTGGGAAGCCAGCTGGACTGAGCAAAAAGAGCCAGGCCAATGTTTATTCTTCTGATGTGGAATGTTCACAGCTGGGTTTAGTAGATATTTACCATTTCAATCATTAGCTATTGCAATGGTTGAATATTAGAGGACTGGAATGGTTTGATTCTCCTGGAATTATTGAATATTTGCTATTATAATTATGAGCCCTTTGCTATAAATAATAATAATAGTTAGCATTTACATAGTGCTTTAAGGGTTTACAAGGAGCTTTACATATATTATCTCATGTGGTCCTCACAACAAGCATGGGAGGTAGGGGCTATTAATAACCCCATTTTACAGATGAGGAATCAGGCTGAAAAAGGCTAAGTAACTTTGCTGAGGTTACACAGATATTAAGTGTCTGAGGCAGTGTTTGAATTCATGTCATCCTGATTCCAGGTCTGGTACTCTATTTAGCAGCCAAATCAATATCAATATTATTACTGCTTTTTGCTATCAATGTTATCAGCTACTGAAATTATTAGATATTTTTCATTTTAATTACTAGCTTTTCATTCTGATTTCTTTGCAGTCCTTGAGTGATGATTGACATCATAACAGATACAAAAACACCTCTCTCCTCTTTTTTTATTTAAAAAAAGCTGAAATTATTAGATACTTTCCATTTTAATTACTATCTATTTACTCGGATTTCTTGACAGTCTCTGAGTGATTACTGACATCAGAATAGGCACAGAAATACCCCCTCCCTCTTTTTTTTTTAAATGGAAATTATTGGATATTTTCCATTTTAATTATTAGCTATTTACCATGATTTTTTGATAGTCCCTGGGTGACTAGTGACATAACAGGCACAGAAACACCTTCCTCCTTTTTTAAAAATTGAAATTATTGTATATTTTCCATTTTAATTACAAGCTATTCACTGTGATTTCTTGATAGGCCTTGAATGACTGACATCATAATAGGTACAGAAACACCCCCTCCCCCCTTTGAAAACTTAAATCACCTAATGTCTGATGCCACCACAAACTAGATGTCTTGTGACAGCAGCTCTCTTCCTGACTCTGTCTCCTCTGATTAACTCAGAAGCCTAGCAACGGTGGTAGCTGGCAGTGGCCGAGAGCTGCTCGGGCTTAGCGGAGCCCTGGAGAAGCCAGCTGTGAAACGGGAGCTAGGACAGCAGCCCCCTGAGCAAACTTATCAGCTGCTCCTTCTCTGATGGCTCTGGAAGTTCTTCTGATTCAATTTCAGGCATGACAGGAGAGGCTAGTACAATTACAGGAGCTCGAGGAGCCGCGGGGCAGAGACAAGATTTAAAAAGGCGGCTTGGAGAGTTCTGGAGAGGTGGCTGCCTGGGTTTCAGTCCTCTTGGGTCTGACCGGGGGAGCCAGGCTGTGAAAGGGGGATCCAGGCACGGAGCTACTGCAGCTTGCTAGGCCTGCATGTATCACCCTGGCCCTGGGAATATGACCGATGAGTGACCTCGGGGGGGAGGAAAAACTCTCTGTGGGGGTAAAAACTACCTCTGGGCTGGGATGAGCTCAAGCCCAGTCCCCTTCACTCACGATCCTTTGGCTGAGAGTCCATATTTATGTTACAAACTTCCCCGAGGGGGTGGGATTCATCAGCTCTAGAGAAATCCCAGTCTGTACAGAGCAAGCTCGGAGTGTCTGCTGTCCGGTCCCTGGGAGGGGGCATTCCTGGAGCCGTGGGAACTATGAGGAATGGCTCTGACTACTTAGGGCTCTTTAGAGCAATGGTCTCCAAACTTTTTTTTTTTTGATGGCACATATTGTGAGTGAAAAAGAAAAGGAGATAAAAATAAAACCAACAATATTTTAAAAATAATTATTTTATTTACTCATAGTACCGAAAAAACCTCTTTTGGTCTCACTTAAAAATGTAGTAATTTTTTAGCTACAGTGATGTGATTGATTATGTTTTGTTATTTTTGAAACTTGTGGTTTAACAATTAGCATGCAGTGATTTAAAGGTCTGGTTCTAAGTTCAGGTGATTGCTCTTGGTTTTCGAATGAGGGAAACTGGTGAGATGGGTAGACCCAGTCAGAAGTATATTACTGACTGTGCTTACTAAATCATAACACTCATTTTTCATTCTCATCCATCAGTTATGCAAAGGTTTTTGTTATCACAGCCAGCACATTTCCCAAAGTTCTGGTTGTAAGTTCAGTTAATTTCTACTTTTGGTTTTTGAATGGCTGTCACAGTTGAAAAAGATTCCTCTCCAAGATGGACAGACCTCCAATGGAAAAAGTACATTATGGACTGTGCTTACTAAACACAACCCTTATTTTCCATCCTTATCCAACAATTATCCAAAGGTTTTTGTTGAATTGTAGCTAGTACATTTCCCCCTGTCTCGATGGAAGGTGGTAGGGCATGGTCTCTGGAGATCAGGTGCCAAGTTCAGGAGGTGGCTGTGGCAGGAGATGATGCTTAGGGAGGCCCTGGGTTCCTGGTGGTGGATGACCTTTTTCATTCATTTCTAAACTGTCCAGTGGACTAGGAGGATGAGTGGGGTGGGTCTTGGAAGCAGATCTGAGAGATTTGTCTGTGCCCCATACCCAGTGCTGCTGCCCTTCATTTCTTGCTAGCTTAATTATTACTGTTCCTCATAGGCTCTCATTCCTGCAGCTCCTCCCAGGCTCATTGTCAGTCTCCCTTGGGGCAGTGGAGTGGCCTTCCAAACGGTTTGGAGGAAGAGGGTCTTGGGAGCAGGACAGCTCTCAAGTATAGCTGCCCCAGGCATAAGGGAGCTCACATCCTTAGGAAGCATTTCTCCCCTCCTGGCCAGCCAGGGTTCATGATGGTCCTATCATCCTGGGATTTTTTGTGCTGTGTTCCCAGTCTGTCCTGGGGTCTGGAGCACTTATTTTTTTTTCTTTTTTGGTTAGGGCATGGGGTTAAGGGACTTGCCCAGGGTCACACAGCTAGTAAGTGTTACATGTCTGAGGTTGGATTTGAACTCAGGTCGTCCTGAATCCAGGGCCGGTGCTCTATCCACTGTACCACCTAGTTGCTCCTGGAGCACTTATTTCATCTATCCTCCTTTCAGAATGAGACCCTGGAAGGGTCGCTGGGGAAGTAGGATCTGCCTGTTCTTGGAGCTGTGAGCCCTACCCCAGGCAGGGGTCAGGGATGTGTGGAAGCTCAGTCAAAATCAATCAATCAATCAGCAATTATTTATTAAGCACCAAAACCAGGCACTGTGCTAAGCACTAGCACAAGTTCAAAGAATGAATTGATCTCTACTCCCAATGAGAACATTTTCCAACAAAAACCTTTGCATAACTGGTGGATATGAATGAAAAAAAAATGAGTGTTATAATTTAGTAAGCAGAGTCAATAATGTACTTCTGATTGGGTCTATCCATCTCAACAGTTTCTGTCATTCGAAAACCAAGAGTAATCACCTGAACTTAGAACCAGACCTTTAAATCACTGCATGCTAATTGTTAAACCACAAGTTTCAAAAATAACAAAACACGTCCTTAGTCAGGACATGGTGAGGTGTGCACTGCTGTCGTAGGGTGGAGGACAGGGACACATGGGGTGGGGGAAGGAGAGAAATAGGCAGGTAATGACTGCATGGCAACCTGAGTACAGGCTGGGAAGGGGGGCAGCAGAGAAAGCAGAGGCTGTAAGTGCCAAGAACAGCTGATGCTGTTGTCCTCGGTCCCAATATTTTGTTTGAGTTCCCCAGTGGACCATCTTGTGTACCACCTGGAGTGTTTGTACCCCACCTTGGAGATTACTGGTCTAGAGACCGCTAACTTTATTTTCTCCATTTTTCAGTAAAACCCATGCAATCAAACCAACTGTGGACATGCTCCTTGTGTCAGGTTGTAGGAGTCTTTTGAATACAATAACTCAGGCCAAAGACAACTGAGGTAGCAATAGGATTCCTGGCTACTCAGCCAAGGCAGCCTCCCTTTCCAACACTAGCGGTAGAGGTAGCCTTAAAAAACCTGGGGTTTGTCAACTTAAACCACTTGCCTTAGGCAAGGATTGTCCTCAGGCTGTAGCCAAAATTTGACAGCCAGTCCAGTGCAAAAGACTAAAACACAAAGCTGGTTCTTCTTTCTGGAGCACCTGGGTGACCTGTGAGCCAGAATCCAGCTTCTTCTCCATATATGATACACTAACCCTTATGTTACCAGATATTGTAGGTCCTCAAACAAGAACAGCATCTTCTCAAATAGAGGAAAGAAAGTTTCTGCAAGAAAAGGAAACTGAGGAGAGTGAAGAAGATAGAGTGTGGAATATATCATGTCAGGAAGGCTGGAAAGTAAAGACAACTTTGGACTGAGGAGTTAAGTGGAATGTACCTGAGGGTCGGGCTTCTATGACATAGCGGGTGATAGGGCCTTTGCCAGGATCTCCACTAGACCAGTGAATGGCGATGGCTGAGCTGTACCGGATGATGATGGGAATTCCAGGGGGTCCGGGAGCACCTGGAGGAATTCAAGGTCAACCAATCAATCAGCAATTATTTATTAAGTACCAAAACCAGGCACTGTGCTAAGCACTAGCACAAGCCCAAAGAATGAATTGATCTCTACTCCCATTGAGTTTATATTCTAATAGAGGGGCAAGTATATTAAAAATATATACAGCATAAAGTCAATAGATGCAAAAATATGTGTGTGTGTATGTATGTATGTATGTATGTGTATATATACAAATATGAATAGGTGGAGAGTCAAGTCAAGAAGCATTTCTTAAGCACCTACTATATGCCAGGCACTACATAAAGTGTTGGGGATAATAAGAAAGGCAAAAACAGACCCAGCGCCCAAGGGACTCATAAACTAATGGGGAAGATGAAGTGTAAACAATTATATGCAAAGAAGAGATATACAGGATAAATTGGAGATTATCCCAGAGGGAAGGCATTAGCATTAAGGCAGACCAAGAAAGGCCTCATACAGAGGGTGGGGTTTCATCAGAAACTTGAAGAAGGCTGGGATTTGGAGATTAGTTGGGAGAGCATTCGAGGAATGGGAGACAGCCAGTGAAAATACACAGTGAGGAGAGAGAGTGCATTGTGTGAGGAATAGCAAAGAGGCCAGTCGCTTGATCCTAGAGTATGTAAAGGGAACTGACAGGTAACAAAAATGGAGGGGTAGGAAGGAGTGCACACACAACTCAGTGGGAGCTGCCCCACCTTTTCATCCTCCACCAGGGCTGCTCAATCGAGGAGCACTTAGAGAAAAAAAGAACCCGAGGTGTCTGACGCTTTGGAGGCTTTCAATAATGTTTGTAGGTTGACCTAGGATTTAACCTATGAGGCCTGATGCTTAAAATAGAGTATCTCAGCCTAGTGTCCCACTCTGTGTCTGCTCAAATCATCTTGAGCGTTTGCTGTAATCTAAAGTATGGAAATGGAAAGGCCGGAGGAGGAGGCGGTGGTGATATGACTAAAGCCATCATGGCGCAGACATATAGGCAGAGGAGTTGGGCTGCTAGGTGGTGCCACAGTGCACAGAATGCCAGGCCTGAAGTTGGGAAGCTACATTTTCCTGAGTTCAAATCTAGCCTCAGACACATACTACTGTTGTGACCTTTGGCAAATTAATTCCTTTCTGTGTCTCAATTTTATCACACCTGGTAAAATCAGGTATATAGACTAGGTGGCCTCTAAAGTGCCTGCCAGGTATAAGTTTATGATCCTATAAATCCTGACTCTGCAACTGGCTGATTGTGTGACTTTGAGCAGCCTTTTCTAGGGCTCAGTTTCCTCATTTGTAACATGAGGGGGTTAGACTAAGTCTGAAGTCCCTTCCCCTTTTAAGGTACCTTTAAGATCTCAATTTAGGATGCATTGAAGGAAGTAAATAAGTATTTATTAAGCACGGGTGCTATGCTAAGTGCTTTACAAATATAATCTCATTTGATTCTTAGAACAACCTTGTGAGGGAGGTGCTAATATTCTCCTTTTACAGTTGAGGAAACTGAGGCAGACAGAGATTTAGTGACTTGCCCAGGGTCACACAGTGTCTGAGGCCACATTTGAACTCAGGTCTTTCTGATTCTTGGCCTAGTGCTCTAGCCACCTATAATTTGTGTACAACAGGAAAAAGAAGTGGGCAAGTCATGTAGGTATAACAGGTGGCAAGCTGGAGGGCTGTACCTGTTCCCATAAAACATTCACATATCTAAAGGAAGGCCTTCAGCACCCGGGGTAGGTCCTCTATGTGGGATTTATGGGAGGCTATTGTCAAGAATATAGTACAGGATGAGAAGATATGCATGGGTAGTGATCTGCCCCAGTTGTGGGAATTCCCTCTTCGCTGGACCTGGAGTCAAGAAAACTTGAATTCATATTTGGTCTCAGGCACATACTAGCTGTGTGACTTTGGGAAAGTTACTTAACTTCTGCCTGCCTCAGTACCCTCATCTGTAAAATGGGAATAATAATAGCACCTGCCTCCCAGGGTTGTGAGGATCAAATGAGATAATATGTGTAAAGTACTTTGCAAACCTTCAAGCGCTATTAATGTTGCTATTATTATCTCTGATAATAACTCACCAATGGGTCAGACAATAATAATGGAAGCAGCATTACTAGAAAGCCACTTATGAAAATACATATATGTTTCTTGGGAGGAGAGAGAGGGCTCATCTTGTCTCCTTTAGCCCTCTTATTACCATGGATTAGTTTATCAGAGTAGCTAATTGTGACCACTGCAGGTAAAGAAAATGCTTTCCCTTTGTGGACAAGACACAGGACAGAGAAGTTTCCAGTTGACTGGAAGAAGGTGGGGAGCAGGCCATCAAAGAACACGGGGTAGCTGGTGTATCAAATCCCTCTTAACATCCAGGGATGGTGTTGAGCAGAATAGGAGGGAGTAGAGGAGGGGGTTTGGGGAAAGGTGAAGGAAATGCTGACGATGCAGAGCACCAAAGACAAACTTGGCTCATTTTACAAAATCAACTCTGCTTGAAGGTCAAGTCAAACATGGAAAAGCTGCCCAAGTCTGGAATGTTGCCATCTGAGGACTGGCAGGGCCTGGGAGTCACAAAGATATCAATCCCAGGATCCCAGGATTGATGATAGATTTAGCGCTGAAAGCAATTTCAGAGCCTATCTGGTTCAACCCCTTCATTTTTGTAGTTGAGGAAAATGAGGCCAAGTGGGGACCTGCAGAGCTTGGCAGTCCCTAATCATGGGATCACAGATTTAGGGCTCAAAGGAACATCAGAAGTAATACAGTCTAACTCCTCCTTCAGTTTGCAGGTGGGGAAACTGAGGCCTATGGTAACCCCAGATGATAAGCTACAGCCTTATAATTTCCAATTCTTTCTTCTTTCCCAAATATTTACCATCCATCCCAACCTCTGGTCCCGGCATTGTCATAACAGAGAAACAAGGTAGTCGAGGTGATCAGACTGGGATGGTGGGGTGACAAGCCACTGAAGGGCTATGTTTCTGACATCGTCAGAACATGGGGACCTCAGAACATAGGGTGGGGTTCAGGGGCCAGGCAAGCCAGAGGCAAGGAAAGTCCTACTAAGTGTACCCTGACCTCTAATCTCTCATCAGATAAGAAATCTCTGGCAATGTTGTAGCCCATTACTTGGATATGAGGGAACAGGAATACAGTTTTAGGAGAGAGAAGCAGTTTATCCTTACTCCAGATACCTTTTCCCCTTACACCTGCTTGGTTATATTTTCTTTTTTAAAAGCTCAGCATCTGGTAGTTCTGATCTGGTTCATTTACAATCCTCTAGTTAAAATAGGTTTTTTTGATTTTTTTTTTCAATTTTTCCTTCAGAGTGTTAAACAGTCGGGGACATTTTATGCTTTAGTCTAAAACAAACCTTTCCTGCTTGCATATCACTGGTAGGCCTGCCCACTGGTCAGCCTGCTGGCTTTCTCCTCTTCTTGGTGTTTATAAGGGAAGTAAGTGGGCAAATTGGCTTAGCTGAGCAGTGCCATGCATTTTAGGGGTGAGGGCTAGGGGCAGATGAAGGAGGGGCCCACGGGGTAGTCTCCATAGCATGATTCTCTTTCTTCCTGCTTAGCTGAGTTCCAAGAGAGTCCTGGGGACTGAGGCACAATTTTGTGAGAAGGGAATTGGAGTAAAATGAACTACATTCTGTAGTAAAAAGCAATAGAGGTAATAGCTGGAAGCTTGACTCAATTTCTTCCCAATGCTGTTGATTTGGGTTCAGATTACTTATGCAGTAGAAAGACTGGAAAGTTTCTCCTTTTGGAAAAAAAAATACTGTCTGTAATACCTATATATTTAGAGTCAGAGGACCTAGGTTCAAATCCTGGTTCTGTACCTTATCACCTATGTGACCTTGGGCAAATCTCTGTCTCTAGGCCTCAGTTTCCTCATCTGCAAAATGAGGAGATTTGACCAGATGATCCCTCTGGCACCTTTCAACTCTAAGTCTTCTATCATTTGATGAATTTTTAGTTTGAATTCAGAACGTGTAGGCCATCTCCTTTGCTGGGTGTTTTTCTTTCAGCCACAGGCACTATTCTTCCTCTCTGGTATCACAGTCTTTTGCTGAATCCTTGGGTTTGGGGCAGGGTAGGACTCCCACATGGAGTAAGGGGCATGGGGTGTGGTGACCTGGATGGCTGGGTGGGGTGACTTACACTATTTCCACTCTTCTAGAAGGAGAGGAAGCAGCAATGGCATGAGCCGCTGGACACTGTCTAATGCCCTGGTAGTTTGGGGATTTGTTGAGTTCATGTGGAGGATGTTGTCCTAAGGGTAACTGGAGTCTCTTCTAGGGATTGACTGGACCACTCCCAGCTCTCCTTGACAAAGATCTCAACCAAAAGGACACTTCAGGCAGAGCTAAAATAGAAGAGGGACAGCTGGTACTTATGGGCCCCCCTTACCTTCTCCTGGCCCTGTGGTGATGTTGGCTTCGATTTCTGGCCCATACGTGAAGGTCTTGGCCCGGATTCGGAATCTGTAGGTCATCCCCTCTGCTAGGTCTTTCACTTTCAACCACAAGGGGCTGTTGCCCTTTACATCAACTGTCACAATCTTGCTGACCCCTGTGGAACCAAGCACAAAGAGTGGGGATTGCAGGGATAGAGGTTGCCCAGGGGGTCCATGGGGGGAACTGTATAATATAAGAGGCAATATGATATAGTGGAAAGGGAAGGGAGGTGAGTAGAATATAATCTCCCTGAGGACAGAGGCCCTGTTTTGTCTTTATAAACCTAATGCCTAGAATATAGTCAGTGCTCTTGTTATGACAGCTATTTCCCTTTCCCCATTTTTTTTCTTAGCATCAGGGAGACAGAATATTGAATACCCTTCTTCATATCTGCTAGTTTTGCTGTGCTACAATTACGATATCTAAGGGGATGACATTGCATTTGCTTTAAAGGGATTCATCCCTTTCTTCACCAATGATTTGTTTGTTTTTTGGCTAGGCAATGGGGTTAAGTGACTTGCCCAGGATCACACAGCCAGTAAGTGTTATGTGTCTGGGCCACATCTGAACTCAGGTCCTTCTGAATCCAGGGCTGGTACTCTATCCACTGCACCACTTAGCTGCTCCCTACCAATGATTTGTTATGAGACTCTAGGGCATTCACCTGTTAGAAAGCCTGGGTCTTTGCCTTTGGACAACCCTACTTTGACTTCAGTTCCCCCTTTCGGAAAAGAGTATTGCCTGTACTAACTGTATTGACTATTGCCAATTTGGCCAAAGATTAAGGGGCTGGAGTGGGTGAGGATGGAGGGGGCTTTTAAAATGTATGTGAGTAATTATTCTTAGACATCAATTATAACTAATGCCCCTCGTCTCTGGAGTGTGTGCGTGTGTGTGTGTGATGATCATTATGAAGGATATTGAAAGGAAAGGGAGATGGTGAGGTTCAGAATCCTGTTGCCCACTCATCTGTGGGAACACATAAGTACCACCCTACTGAGAAGCTAATCAAGACAAAGTGCTGAGATCCTCCACTGAGAGCCTTTATGGATGGACTGAACAGGTGGTCACTGGCATGTGTACTTCATCAGTGAGTTCCCCTCTTGCTTTCAGAGAACATAGCACTGCTCCTGGTTCCCTCCCCTGTGATCCTGTCTCTTTCATGGGGCCCAGCTTCCCTTATTGTGTTCTAGAGTTTGACAACACACAGTGCTGCTTTGGAAAAGAGAGCTGTGGGCATGCAGGTGGCAGCAGGGAAGACTGAAGGGCCATTGTTTTGTGGACAGGGCCCCGAGGCTGACCCAGAAATGTTGGCCAGAGGCTGTGTTCCCAGGGTCCAATGGGCTCTCTCTGCTCCATGTACTGATGAGCCTTCCCAGCTGGATTCTGGGGGAAATGAGGTAGGAGAGAGCTTGGGGAAGGTTTCAGGAGTAAGGGTAATAGTGAGGTGACACCCTGGAGGCATTCACCTTCAGCATCCTATATTGTCACCTGGCCCAATCCTAGGCCCTTTCAGGGCTCTTGTATGCTGGCCATCAAGAGGAATTTGACACCGGCAGAAAAGAGCCAAGCCTATTTCCTTCTCCCTCAGCTTCTCTTCCCATTGGTGAGATGGTTATCAATAATGAAATAACCAGGGAATTATGGACACTTGGCTTGTGCCGAGCTCAATGCACCCTGGTTACTGTGGGGACAGCCATCACTATGGAGGGATCCAGTATCGCATAGCAGAATACTGCCTGGGCTTAGAGGACAGGATGGGGAAAGATCCAAATACTCTGGCAGAAGCTGCTTTGAGGAAGAGAGGTGGGAGGGAACTCTTGTAGGGGATAGGAGACCTAGATACAAATATCAGAGAAGGATATATATGGCTCTTGGAGAGAAGGAGATACCCTCCAGGACGCGACCAGGAGAATAAGCCCTGACAAGGCTAAGCCTGAGCAAGGTTGGAATTCTGAATCTTGTATGTCACTGCCCCATAGAAACTTTGAGTCTTTGCTGTAACCCTTGAGATTTGACTTACCACAAAATTAATAATTATGTGCCAAGAAGTGTAGAATATTCTGGCATGAAATAATTGTTACATGAAATAAATGTTACAAATTATTCATTTGTAAAAACTAAGTATTAAAAAGAGGCATCTGCATATCCTTCCCCTAGTTGTGGAGCAGATAGGTGGCTCAGGGCCACCCAGCATTGGGCCTGGAGTCAAAAAAACCTGAGTTCAAGTCTGGCCTCAGATACTTAACTAACTGTGAGACCCTGGGCAAGCCACTTAAAGCTGTTTGCCTCAGTTTCCACATCTGTAAAATGGGAATAATAGTAGCTACCTCCCAGGGTTGTTGTGAGGATCAAATGAGATATTAATTGCAAAGCACTTAGTGCCTGTCACATAGTAAGAGCTACATAAAAGTTACTACTACTACTACTACTACTATCTCAGCTCTACCAAGAGACCAAGGTTATAAGGTTTAGGCAGTGCTACAAATGAAGCTGTCACAGGCTCCCTTCTGCTTCTAATCTCACCAGGGATTCTAATCCTGGCCATCTATCTCAGGCTTTACATTTTACTTAGATGAACCTTAGTTCTACTTCATCTTGTCCAGCTTCCAGTGAGCCATGGAATCAGGAGACCTGGGTTCTAATCCTGCCTCTGCCTTAACCTGCTCTGTTGCCTTGGAAAAATCACTTCACCTGAGGGAGAATCCATCCATGCTGAAAGGATGAAGTGAGATCAGCGGAGCTTTGAAACCAAGTTGCTCACAGGGATAGGGAGCAAAGAAAGGCATCATCACTTACCATCCACCGGAGTGCAAGGCTCATAGATTAGCCGGTAGCCCTCAAGGACGCCATTGGGGAAGAGAGGGGGCTCCCAGGACACGTTCACTGAGGTTGTGGTCAACTCACTGAATTTGACCGTGCTAGGTGCACTGGGAGCTGTCGGGGGAGACAAGAGTTCTTCAGAATTCATCACAAAGCCTGTGCAATCCATCGACCTGTTCAGCTGAATTACACAGCTGAACAAAGGGCTAATACCCTTTGTGGGAATGTAATCATTCTCCAGGTCAGTTTCCCCCCCTTATTGGGGGTTTGGGATCCCCAATCTAGACCACCTCCCCAACTCTGCCTTAGGCCTCAGAATCCTGACAAATCTGGTGATCTGATATTCCGACGCCCGTGTTCTGAGACTCCTGAAAAAAATGGAGTACAAAGGAATCCAGTTGATTCCAGGTCTTCCCTTCAACATTTATTCAGCATTTACTTTGCCTCAGATGCTTGAGGAAGGGATTTATCCCATTCTGGCTGAGGTTTCTCAGCTAGAAGGTGAGGACCAAGACCCACTGGGCCTCTAAGGTTATTGGAGGGCAGAGAGATTTCCTTTGCTTTCATATCACACCTTGAAAATTCTAGGGGGAAGGTGGGGTTAGAGAAGGGGAAGAGTGACAGTAAAAGAAGATGCATTGAAAAATGTTTCATACCAGAAGAGGAGACAAGACCTGGACCCTGGGGAAGACTCCCAGAGCATCGATGGACAGGCTCCATAGATCTCTGAGGCTGCCAGGGCCTCCCAAGGAGGAATCAGAGAACCGGAGACTGGGGATCTGTTGAGGGCATTCAAAGCCCTCACAGAAGATGTTTTCATAGCCTCCAGACCCCTGGAGGGACATTGAAAACACAAAGTCTGGGGAGCCAAGTAGGGGGAGAGGGGAAAGGGAGGAAAGGAAGGAAAAAAAGCACAAAACAACCCACCACACCACTCAATTCAGAAGCATGTAAAGAGGCTCCAAGACTGATAACCGTGGCTATTATTGTCCAGCTCCACCTTCCCTCTGAGTTGGAGCTAGGCCCAGAGGCGACTTCCGTCTGGGACTCTGGGGAAGTGGTGACAGCCAGTGGTCTTTGAAGGAGGAGACTTCAGTTCTGCCTAATCTTGTCCCCCTGAACCCGGGGCTTACAGGAAAGTGGAGGCAGAACACAGTGTCTTCTCTCTTCCAGGAGGGTGAAGTTTCTAAATAACCAGGGAGCATGCAGTCTACTAATTATACTAACAGGAAGGAGAAGGGGCCCAGATAGTTAAAAAAAAAAAATCCAACTCTTTTAGATTTGACTTTGGAGTACAGTCAGAGATATATACTCATACACTCAGACATCTGGTTCAAACTGTCTTTAGTGGCTTAGATGCTGGTATGGCAGATAGTGGTGGCAAAGAAAGGCCACAGGTGAGGGGAAAAAATCCCCCAAGGGGATAACTGGATACTGATTATAAATTCTTAAAGCTGATAGGAAGTGAAGAAACCCTCTCTGTTGTTTGGGGGCAGGAGGTTGGATGAAATAATCTTTATATTCAATTTTCTGGTACTGAGTCAGGAAATTGAACTTGTCCTGTCCCTTCAAACACAGGAGGGGCAAAGGTAGGTGCTGGGGAACCACATAGGGTTTTAGAGTGCTTGTCATGGCTGGAATGGGTTCCAGAGAATGGAAGGATGGGTAATACAGAGACAACAGTACTAGGTCAATCAGGAGGAGGTAGGGAGTAGCAGTGGGAAAAAATCAAAAGGATTGCAAGGCGGGGGAGAAGCATCCTAGGATGGACAAAGCCAGGGATGCTTGAGGTCAAGCTGGAAGAGGTGGAGGAATGAGATATGTGTATTGCCCACCAGTTGGTTCACCATGCAGATTGCATCTTTCTCCTGTTCCTGCTACATCTTAGACTAAGTCTCCCTTTCCATTTTTCCTTCACTCATTGGACTCTAATGAAGACTAATATTGTCTTGCTACCTGGCAGAACTGAATAATAATAAAATCTTCCTTTTTGTAAGGAACTCCCTAACTGGGTAGGTAGGTGCTCCCTGCCCGAGCCAGAGCATAATCCAGGCTGTGACAAGGATGAATGTGGGGAGCCTCTCCCATTGCCCACCTGCTTGTTGGGTCCGACCCTGGCTGGGGGCACTCTGCGGCCCATCGCCTGCGGCATTGAAAGCCGCCACAGTGACCAGGTAGGCCGTGTAGCCGGTTAGGTTCTTGAGCTTGACGCCATTCTCAGGCAGGAAGAGGGTCTTGAGTCGTTCCGTGCTGTTCCTCCGCTGAGCTTCCCAAAAATAAATCTGTGGGCAGAGGTAATTGGGAGGGGGGGTGAGGCTCAGGACACTGAGACTCTTGGGCTTCCCAGCCCATAAGGCACGAGCCTTCTGAGTCAATGAGAACAGACTTCATTTGAGCTGCTTAGGAGAGAAACAAGGAGAATGAACATGTAGCCCTTTCCAGGAATCAAAACGAAGAACTTTTCAGTGGCCCTTGCATAACCACCAGGAAGAAATACTTGTTCTCCCTCATGTTTACCTACAGAGAATGTCTCCAATAGCCTGTGGGAGTCTGAGAGAGAAGGTCCCAAATCCTGGTCTGAGGTGTGTGAAGCTCTTCTATGTACAATTTATTTTCTTTAAAGTGTATTTCAAATTCAACATATTAGTTCTAACACTGCTTTGCTTGTCTATGTCCCCTTCTGAAATTCCTTCTGCCCCCTTCAGAATTAAAAAAAAAGTTTTACTGCCTCTCGAGTCAGGAGGACCTGAGTTCAAATCCGACCTCAGGAACATAACACTCACTAGCTGTGTGAGCCTGGGCAAGTCACTTAACCCCAATTGCCTCACCAAAAAAAAAAAAGTTTAATAAGATGCTCCTTTTTTCTTTTCTTCCTTTTTTTCTGGTTTCAGTATCACTCTATTCCTACTCTTAATTTCCCCCTTCTGAACTTTTTGAAAAAGACTAAAGCCCTTGCTTTAATAAAATAAGTACAGTCAAGCAAAGCAAATTCACATGTTGGCCATGTTTGAAAATGTATGCCTCATTCTGCACCTCTAGTCTATTGCTTCTCGGCCAAGAAGGGGGAATGATTCATCATCAGTCTTCTGGAGTCCTGATTGGTCATTGCATCACTCAGAATTCTCAAGTTTCTCACAGTTGTTTTGATTGTTTCATTGAATACAGTCTTGTAGTCATAATAAAAATTATTCTCCTGGTTCTAGTCACTTCATTCTGCATGACTTCATCTAAGTCTTCCCAGCTTTCTCTGAAACCATCCCTCTCATCATTTCTTATGGCACAATAGTACTGTGTAACATTCATATACCAAAATTTGTTTAGCCATTCACCAATTGATAGCATCCATTTTGTTTATAGTTTTTTTGCTACTACAAAAGAGCCATTACAAATATTTTTGTACATGTGAATTTTTTCCCCTTCTTCTTTGATCTCCTTGGGAGTAATATCTAGGTGATACAGAATTCTGGGCCTGGAGTCAAGAAGATTTATCTTTGTGAGTTTAAATCTGGCCTCAGACACTTACTAGCTGCATGACCCTGTGCAAGTCACTTAACCCTGCTGGTCTCAGTTTCCTCATCTGTAAAACAAGCTGGAGAAGAAAATGGCAAACTTCTCCAGTATTTTTGCCAAGAAAACCCCAAATGGGGTCATGAAGAGTCAGACATGACTGAAAAACGACTGAACAACCTAGTATTTATACATAGTTTAGTCATTTTTGGGGCATAGTTCCAAGTTGCCTTTTAGAATGGTTGGATTGATTTCTAGCTCCATCAAGAGTGCATTAGTTTGCCTGTTCTCTCACTGTCCAGCCAACAATCGTTATTTTCCATTTTTGTCATATTTTCCAAACTGATGGGTATGAGCTAGAACCTCAGAGTTACTTTAATTTGCATTTCTCTTGTTATTAGTGACTTGAAGCATCTTTTTCTGCTTGACATTGATGGTTTGCCTTTCTTATTTGAAAACTGCTCATTCACGTTCTTTGTTTTTTTAAAAATTTTTTTTGGATGGATTTATTTATTTCTATTTTGAATTTTATTTATTTCTATTTTTCTAAGAAATTAAAATTTAATGCCTTGAAATACATTTGAAAGAAAACTTAGCAGGGAAAAGAGGAGATGGCAATCATTCATACTTTTGACTATTTATCTATTAGGGAATAGTTCTTATTCTTATATGCCAGTTCCCTATACATCTTGGATATAAGTCCTTCATCAGAGAAATTTGCTGCAAAGATTTTTTTCTGAGTTAGTCAGTTCTCTTCTAATTCTAATTGCATAGATTTTGTTTGTGCAAAAACTTAAATTTTATACAATCAAAATGTTTTGTTGCTTTTCCTGTGATCTTTATCTCTTATATAATCAAAGATTCTTTCCCTCTCCATATTTGTGAAAGGTGTTTCCTTTCCTACTCTTTTAATTTCTTGACGATATGACCTTTTATATCTAGGTCATGTATCCATTCGGAGAAGCTTATTATGGTACATGGTCTCAGATGCTGGTCCACACCTAATTTCTGTCTAACTCCTTTCTGGTTTTCCTAGCAATCTTTGTTGAATAGTGAGTCCTTACCCTAGTAGTTGGAATCTTTCAGTTTCAGGATTTCATGTATCTAACTGGTTCCATGGATAAACTTTGCTGTTTTAAAAATCAGTACAAAATAGTTTTGATTACTGCTTTGAGACCTGGTTCTGCTAGGCCCCCTTCCTTCCCACTTAAAAAACAAAACAAAACAAAACAAGTCCCCAATTTTTCTTGAGATAGTTAATCTTTTGTTTCTCTATAGATGAATTCGTTTTTATTTTTTTCTAGTTCTGCAAAGTAATCCTTTAGTAGTCTGACTGATATGGCATGAAAATGTAGAGTAATTGAGTTGGTATTGCCATTTAAAAAATTATACTGGTACATCCCAACCACAAGCAACTGGTATCTGTCTAACTTTCATTCATTCTTGCTTGTTCCCTGAAGTTTGCCTTTGTCTCCCACCTTTCACTGAATCTGGTTTCTTTCTTTCTCTCTCTCTTTTTTCTCCCCCTCCCCTTCCCTCTTCTCTTCTCTTTTCTTCTCTTCTCTTTCCTTCTCTTCTCTTCTCTTCTCTTCTCTTCTCTTCTCTTCTGTTCTCTTCTCTTCTGTTCTCCTCTCTTCTCCTCTCTCTCCCCAAGTCTGCATTGGTTAGAGGGGCTTATTCCTGTTTCTGATAATTTTTCTTTATCCTAGTACTATCTGGAATCCTTTTCAGATATTTGCTGGGGTGTGTGTACGTGCTCTGGGCTCTTCTGCAAACTTTCCCATCTGGAAATAACCCAGCAAAGCCTCTTAGTTAAACCTTAGTATCTTTGAGATTCTGGAGCTCTGAAAGGGGCCACAGGCACTTCCTCTATAAAACTAGATAATTTTTAATGATGTCCATTCGAAGCCCCACAGCCTATGAATCTCAACCTTAATCATGAAGGGTAGGACTAGAGGAAATGGAGAAATTATTTTCTCAATTTCAGGTAATCTGGCGCCACCTGCTGGCCCAATTGATCTTTGCAGGTACTAGGTTCTCAAAGGGTATGGATTTTGTTTCCCACTCCAAGGCAGGAGAAGAATCAAAGGAATTGTTCTCAGCTGGCAAGTGAGAGAGCAGGACAGATTACTTAGGGATGACGCACTCAGCCTATTACCGTAATCGAATCCTCCCTTTGATGAGAAGCCTAGAAACCAGGCTTACTGACGCTAAAACGTTCCTTTCTCCTACACCGTCCCTCATAGCTGTTGTTGTTTAGTCATTTACAGTCGTGTCTAATCTATGTGACCCCGTTTGGGGTCTTCTTGGCAGAGATATTGGAGTAGTTTGCCATTTCTTTTTCCAGCTCATTTTACGGATGAGGAAACTGAGGCAGACAGGGTTAAGGGATTTGCCCAGGGTCACATAGCTAGTGAGTGTCTGAGGCCAGATTTGAACTCAGAAAGGTGAGTCTTCCTGACTTCAGGCCTGGCACTTTATCCACTGAGCCACCTTTCTGCCCCCATTGCTCCCTCATAGACCCTTCTCTAAAGAATGGTATGAGTACGGGTGAACATTATGTTTACTGTATATCTCTAGGTCTTTATAAATATTGGAGCATATGAATATATACATGAGTGTATGTATGTAGGATATAGGTGTTTGTCTACATCTGGACAGTATACTAAAAAGTTCAGACATCATCTTGCTGACAAAGGTCTGTATAGGAGCTGGACTATAAGGAAAGCTGAGCACGGCAGAATTGATGCTTTCCAATCAATTGTGGTGCTGGAGAAGACTTTTTTTTTTTTTTTGAGAAGACTTTTGAGAGTCCATTGAACAACCAGGAGGTCAAATCAGTAAATACTTAAAGAAATTAATTCAGGCTATTCACTGGAAGGTCAAATACCGAAGCTGAAGCTTACATACTTTGGCCACATAATGACAAGATCGGACTGACTGGAAAAGACCCTGAAAGATTGAAGGCAAAAGAAAAAGGGGATGACAGAGGATGAGATAGACAGAGAATGTCATGGAAACAATGAACATGAATTTGAACAGATTTTAAGAGATAGTGGAGGAGAGAAGGGCCTAGCAGGCTATGGTCCATGGGGTCAGAAAGGGTCAGACACAGAAATGACTGACAGCAGCAGCAGCAACAACTTTACATTGGTGTTTGTACCTATCAGTGTGTATGGATCTTATAGCCAATGTCTGATTTGAATGCTGTGTCATTTTCAGATTCATTCATTGACTAATAATGTCCATGTGGGAGGCTAGTAGTCCCAAATCCAACTGGTTAATGTTAACATCAGCTGCTTAGCTAATAATGTTATCTAGGTGATATTAAAAAAAAAAAAAGAGGCAATATGGTATGGGGAAGAGAGAATGGGACCCAGAAGGCCTGGGTTCAAAGATTACCTCTGACACTTGTTACCTGTATTATGACAGTGGGCTACTAACAAAATTCATTTGGAATAACAAAAGGTCCAGAATATCAAGGGAACTAATGAAAAGAAATGCAGGGGAAGGTGGTCTAGCCATTCTAGATCTTAAATTGTATTATAAAGACAGTGGGCAAGTCAATCAATCCCTCAGAGTCATGGTTTCCTTACATGTAAGATGAGGCTAATAATGACTGTGTATTTTATTTCATAGGCTTGTTAAGACTTTAGAGCCTGAGTGAGATAATTTATCTAAAGTGTTTTGAAAATTTTAAGGCACTAAATTAAGTCATTATTCTTATTGTATTGACTATAAATTGGCTGTTTTAGTTAACATCAAAAATTAATTGGCTAATGTTAACATCAGACAATTCAACTACCTAATCAAAGAATGGAAATATACATATATTTCATATATATGCATACATTCATACTCCATATTATATATGTAAACGTTAGTGGAAGATATATATACACAGAGACACACACCACATATATATGATCCTGTGTCTTATCACATGAGAATAATTACACACAAAGAAATATTTGAGGGACTTCTTACTGCACTAATAACTTGTATCACACTTAATTATAAATTGTTTTATATTATGCATTTTAGCTGTTTCATGTACATAAGAGCTGGGCCCACATCGTCTATTTCTAGAGGCAGTTGGTGTTTGGTAGATAGAGTGCTGGGCCTGAAGTCAGGGAAATCTGAGTTCAGATCTGACCTCAGACACTTACTAGCTGGGTGATCCTGGCTAAGTCACCTAAACATTGTCTGCCTCAATTTCCTCATCTCTAAAATGGATATTATAAAAATAGCATCTACCTTGTTGGGTTGTTGTGAGGCCCAGATGAGATAATGTTTATAAAAAACGCTTAGCACAGTGCCTGGCAGGTAGATAGTATGCTTAGATAGAATGCTTATTCTCTTCCCTTATATTCCCCACGGTGGCTAGTACAGTGTTAGGTTCATAGTAGGACTTTAAAAAAATCCTTGTTGTGTGTGTGTGTGTGCATATGGAAGTTTAAGTCTCAATGTTTGTCTGTGAAATTTCCATTCTTTAACACCTTGCCAGGCTCGTGGCTGCCCAACTGTTTTTTGGCTCTTTTTCACTCCAATGCATGGGTGGCATATGCTATAGGCATAATGTTTGTTTTTCCCAGCTGCCACTGCCAAGTGTTCCAGGGTGACGCCTCTAATGGTGTCATATGTCTCTCTGGCCCTCTTGGCCAGATGCCTTCCTTGAACCTCCGGAGGGCAAGAAACCTCGGAACCGGCTCTGGTCTCTGTCCGGTGGAAGGTACCTTAGGAACCGAGACTGGAGGCTTGCAGTGGGAAATGAGTCTATTACAAACAGACATCCTAGTCCCCTAGCTCGGCCCACTTCCTTTGTCCACAGAAGGTCTAAGAACGGAGACGGCAGTTAGGAATTTGACCCAACTGCCTCAGAACTTGGGGCTGCCTCTAAAAATGCCAGCGTAGGGGATAAAAGTCTAGGAATCAAAAGACCTGGGTTCTAATTCTGCTACTAATTTTATTTAAAGTCCTTTCCAACTCTAGATCTGTGCACCTCTGATCCCAGAGTTCCCTCTCTTTCCCCTGCCCTCAACTGTTCTTGCCCAGGAGAAAATATTTATATTTACAGTTCTAGGGGAAAGAAGCATGGGCTTTGAATTTCTGGGCTTTAAGGAGGACTGGCTTTCAGTTTCTTTATCTTTAAAATGGGGTCAATATTCTTTGTCCTACCTGCTTTATGTCATTAAAATGGCAATACTTCACATTTCTATGATGCCTTTTTTTTTTTAAAAGACTTGGTATTCCCCCTGTCTCACCCAGGCTTGAAAGTACAGTGACTACTCACAGGCCCAAATCCATCGATGATTAGCATGAAAGCTCTGACTTGCTTCACTTCTGACCTGGACCAGTTCATCTCTCCTTAGGCAGCAATCTCCTCGCCACTTACTCCATGCCCCCCACTCCTGGGGGCTCATCGTATTAATACCAGGCTTAGTGTGGACACTCTGATTGTCTTTATGCCTACTGTAACTCAAAACTCCAGAGCTCAAGTAATCCACCTGCCTCAGTTTCCCCCAGAAGAAAGGATTGCAAGCACAGGTTTCCATGCTCAGCTTCTCCAGGGGTTTAAGTGAACAAAGTCCTGAAAAGTACATTACCCACAACAACCCTGTGAGGTAGATATTGTAAATATTATCTCCTTTATACAAGTAAGGAAATGGAGATTTGCACACATGTTTACATACATATATACTTATATGAATATACACACATACATATACATATGCACATATAACACACATATGCATAAATACATACTTATACACATATACACACACATAAACATAGACACACATTTGTCCTAGGAAATGACTTTTTATTTTCAGTATAAGATATGAACTGGAATTTGCTGTAATGGATTTTGGACTGTGTCATTATCCTAATTATTATTATTGTTAGCCAAATAACATCCAAACTGGGACTCTTTTTGTTTAAGCCCTTTGGGAATGGAGAATCACAGAATTTAGAGTTGCAAGAAACCTTAGAAATGACTTAGTACGACTCTGCCCCCTCTATTTTACAGAGGAGGAAGTTGAGGTTAAGAAGAGGACATGATGTATCTCCAATCACTTATCTGGTATGTGGTGAAGCTGGAATTTGATCCCGAGTCTGCTAACTCCAAGCCACTGTTCTTCCCCTAACGCTGTGTTTCCTGTCCAATGCTGTTTTCTTTGTCCTAGTTCTGTAAAATCGCTTTGAATTGGGGCTCCCCATGCCAAAGGGGAAGTGTGTCAGCTAAAGCCCAGGAAGGACAAGTCCATTCCTCTCCCCTTCCCTCACAGCTATAACCAGGACTGTTTTCACCTGGGGAAAAACTAGTTGGTTGTAGTTTAAAGAGAAAGTGGGGGAGAGGGAGGGAGGCCATAAGATCTTAGAAGCCTAGATTTAGAATTGAAAGGAACCTCAGAGGTCATCTAATCCAATTTTCTCATTTTACAGATGAGGAAACTGAAGCTTAGGGAAGTTAAGTCATTTACCCAAAATCACATAGCTACCAAGTGGTAGAGTTGGGATTTGAACCCAAGCCTGCTTACTCCAAATCTGGGGTTCTTTTTACTATAACACATATGCTTTACTTTATAGATGTAGAAACTGAGAACTGTCTTAAAATATTTGAAAGACTGTCATATGGAAGACAAGTTTACCTGGATCTGCTTGGCATCAGAGGGCAGAGCTATGAACAGGTGGAAGCTACAGAAAGATAGGTTTAGGTATTGGGTAAGGAGAAACTTCCTAACAACAACCCTACTCCCCATATCAGAACCAGGTTAACTCATCTTCTATGTGACAGCCCTTAAAGGCTAGTGTTGCTTTTGTTCAGTTGTTTATAGTCACATCCAACTCTTCATGACCCCATTTGGGGTTTTCTTGGTAGATACTGGATCTCTCTCTCTCTTTCTTTCCATATATACATATACATATATATGTATATATATATATAATATATCTGTATCTATCTATCTATCTATCCATCTATCTATCTATCTGCCTGGATACTTGCGATTTCCTTCTCCAGCTCATTTTACAGATGGCGAAACTGAGGCAAGCAGGGTTAAGTAATTTTCCCAGACTCATCCAGCTAGTAAGTGTCTGAGGCCAAATTTGAACTCAGGAAGATAAACCTTCCTGACTCCAGGCCCCATATTCTATTCACTGAGTCACCTTGTGTATGCCTAGACAAATCACTTCACCTTTAGCAGCTCACCTAGACCCCATAGTTCTACACTGCAGGGCATGGGGGGGCATGCCCCTTCTCTCCAATCTGGGATAGAAAACACTTGAGAAGTCTTTCACAACTAAAACCTTGCAAGTCATTCTATAGGTTGCTAAGGCCTTGGTCTCTCTCCCTGTTTGGTTTTCTGTACTCTGCCAAAGAACATCATATGTTGTACCTTATAGCCTTGGATGTCCCCATTCTGTGCTTCCAATGGAGGTGGCTCCCATGTTACGTCTAGCTGCGTGGCCGTGGCACCATGGACAGCTACATTCTGTGGGGGCGCAGTAGGCACTAGAAAATGAAAAGAATAAATGAGGCTGATTATGTGTGTGTGTGTGTGTGTGTAACTGTGTGTGCTAGAGCACATGGAGGGGCAGCCCAGAGTGGGTAGGGTCTCCCTATTGCCATATCTTGTCTGGTTGGCCTTAAAGGATAGCTGGGAGACGACCAAAGACAATTTGCCATGGAAATGTGGGCAGGGGTGGACACTAGGACAAACAGGTGGAGGGGGAGAGAGAAAAGCCACCTCACTTCACTCACCTGCCTCTCCAACGAACACTTCCTGGGGTGAACTGGACGGTCCCTCCCCCACAGCATTGTAGACACTCATCCGGATCTCATAGCGTTTGTGCTTACTTAGGTCTGGTGGAGGGGAGTGGGAAGAGGACACAGAGAGAAGTCACTGTGAAGGTGAGTGAGTGAGTGTGTGTGTGTGTGTGTGTGTGTGTGTGTGTGTGTGTGTGTGTGTGTG